TTTGCAAGTCATTATGATAAATTTCAGAACGAACCTTAAGTTTGCATTTAAGTTGACTTGGAAAATAAACAATCCCTGGGATACAATGCTAATGAAAAATTATAAAATGCAAATAAAAATTATAAAATGCAAATAAAAATTATAAAATGCAAATAAAAATTATAAAATGCAAATAAAAATTATACAATTTAAAAGTTTTTTTACAATATAAATGAAAATTATACAATGCAAATGAAAAATTATACAATATATATAGAAAATTATAGAATACAGATGGAAAATTATACAATGCAAATAAAAATTGTACAATACAAATGATTTTTTACTATATAAAAAAAAAATATACAATGCAAATAAAAAACTATGTAATACAAATGATTTTTAAAAGATATAAATGAAAATTATACAATGCAAATGATAAACTATACAATTCAAATGAAAAATTATGCAATGAATATGAAAATTATGCAATACAAATGAAAAATTATGCAATACAAATGAAAAATTTTACAAAACAAATGGAAAATTATATAATGCAAATAAAAATTATACAATACAAATAGAAAATTTTACAATACAAATGCAAAATCATACTATGCAAATGCAAAATTGTACAATACTAATGGAAAAGTTTACAATACAAATGGAAAATATCGAATATTGCAAAGTTTGATTTGCCATAGATATGACAGAAGTCCATGAAGTTTTCGAGCGACCCTTGTATCAGGGATAACATTTTTCGATTTCTTGACGATAATTAAGCGATTGGCTTGCATGATAATTTGCATATTCGCCGAAGGCTATAGTTGATATGAAATTATCAAGCAAGCCAATCGGTTGTCATTTCATGAAATCGAAAAGTGAGACAGTTATTTCTTAAGAAAATTATTTTTTAATGCATTTGTCACAGTATAGAAAAAAAAACCTCACTAATGGGCGGCAGAAAGGGTAATAAAGACGTTAATGCAAAACTAACAACTAATTTTACAAACATACTGAAATACAAAACAGACAATCTTAAAAACAAAATCAACAGACTTGTTTGCAAAATCAACAAACGCCGATGCAAAATCAATTAACTCCGATACAAAATCAACAATCATTCGCTGGATTGACGCCGATGCAAAAAAAAATATACAATATATATAGAAAATTATAGAGTACAGATGGAAAATTATACAATGCAAATAAAAATTGTACAATACAAATGATTTTTTACTATATAAAAAAAACTATACAATGCAAATAAAAAACTATGCAATACAAATGATTTTTAAAAGATATAAATGAAAATTATACAATGCAAATGATAAATTATACAATTCAAATGAAAAATTATGCAATGAATATGAAAATTATGCAATACAAATGAAAAATTATACAAAACAAATGGAAAATTATATAATGCAAATAAAAATTATACAATACAAATAGAAAATTTTACAATACAAATGCAAAATCATACTATGCAAATGCAAAATTGTACAATACTAATGGAAAAGTTTACAATACAAATGGAAAATATCGAATATTGCAAAGTTTGATTTGCCATAGATATGACAGAAGTCCATGAAGTTTTCGAGCGACCCTTGTATCAGGGATAACATTTTTCGATTTCTTGACGATAATTAAGCGATTGGCTTGCATGATAATTTGCATATTCGCCGAAGGCTATAGTTGATATGAAATTATCAAGCAAGCCAATCGGTTGTCATTTCATGAAATCGAAAAGTGAGACAGTTATTTCTTAAGAAAATTATTTTTTAATGCATTTGTCACAGTATAGAAAAAAAACCCTCACTAATGGGCGGCAGAAAGGGTAATAAAGACGTTAATGCAAAACTAACAACTAATTTTACAAACATACTGAAATACAAAACAGACAATCTTAAAAACAAAATCAACAGACTTGTTTGCAAAATCAACAAACGCCGATGCAAAATCAATTAACTCCGATACAAAATCAACAATCATTCGCTGGATTGACGCCAGATGGCGAGCAAAAACATAAATGACCTGAATTAACGCTAGATGGTTCTCATGTTTTTCTACGTCATCATTATTTGTATACTTTCGAACGTAAATCCCGCGAAATTGTCTATCGGCATCCATTTGGCAAACCTCGGAAAAAAAATTATAGATTATATTATCGGTATAGGAATCATTATTGAAATATATAATAGGGATCCAATGCTATATATAGTATACATGTATATCCTTTTTCTCTCGGACTAATCCTGTTCTTAGGGAATGACTTGGGTACTTTAAAGTATAAGTAAAATAAATTAAGGTAAGATGTATGCTAACCCATATCTTTTTTTTTGCTTAAAAATAATATGATGGGAAGTAGGGCAGCGATTACCTAGGGTTTATTTATTGATGAGGTGGTTTTTGTTTTTGAAAAAGTTAGGAAAATCAGAAGGGGAATCGGAGCCTGAAGGTGAGGACATCTGGCTGAAATTGAATTTGAGCATTTTTATGGCCATTTAGATGCATGCAATTGCAACGCGAAACCATTTTCTGTGTTAGTCAAAATGCACTTGTGACTAGGTCTACCACGCATACCATGGCAAAGATGCCTACACAGCTTGTTCGGGGCACAAATACAGTTTCAATTATCTAATTGCACATAAGCCAATCACCGTTTGAATTTTGCGCTAAATAGTTCATGCATGAATTTGTTATTTATCAGACATAAGCATTTTTAAAATGTAATTTTACTTTTTGTATTATATAATACATATCTATACAGGCACGGAACCAAGAAAAAAGTTCCGGGGAGTGTCATCCCAGTAAGAAAAATCCAGCGCAGAAATTTCTTGACATGCATGCCTAGATAAACAAACAGTTAAGCGTAAACTCCTTTCCTTAACTTAGAAAAAAATATATTTTGGGGAGGGGACGGAGTAAAATTTATAGCTTCATATATAGAAACCTAATACTTTTCATAGCCACTCAGCATATTCGCGTATTGAAGGAAGTGTCGGAGTCTATAGGAGACGCCCAAGGTCACTTGAAGTAAACTTTGTTGGTTTGTTGGGCTGGACCCCAAACGCCCCCCGACCCCTCCCTCTAGATCAGCGCATATCTATATTAATGAAAACTGCGTAATTGTTTGACAATAGTTCGATAAAATTATGTTTTATTTACTGTCTAACATACTAGGTACCATATGCGACATGATACTTCCTAAAATATGTCTTCTTAAATAACAGTGATAGGCGTCACTTAGGTGTACATAGAAAAGCAAAAATGGTACTAGTACAACTTGCCACTGAATGTTCAGGTATCAACAACTGTATAATGCCTGAACACAATAAATCAAATATTATATAAACTTTTTAAGAGTGAAAGGAGATCATTTCTTTAAAAAGGGAAAACGAGATATCCAAGGAAAAATACCAAAACATGAACTTACTACTGTTTTTTTGTAATAAATTTACAGCCATTTAAAGATGTCTTGCTGCCTCTAATATATTTTTGAATTTTAAAAGTCCGACATGATGCTATCATCCCTGTTTTTCCAAATGGATGCTGATTAACAGCTTCGCGAGATTTACGCTCCAATTAAAGTACACAAAGAAAAACTTGCGCGCCATCTAGCGTCAATTCGGTGAATGTTTGTTGGTTTTGCATCGGAGTTTGTTGATTTTGCAAACAGTCTGCTGATTTTGTTTTTAAGATCGTCTGTTTTGTATTTGATTGATTGATTGTATATTGTTTAACGTCCCTCCTGAGAATTTTTCACTCATATGGAGACGTCACCGAATGCCGGTGAATGGCTTCAAATTTAGACCTATACTCGGCATTTAGGGCTATTGAGCAGTGAGGGTTCTTTATCGTCCCAGCGCCTACCGTGACACGGGACCTATGTTTTTAAGGTCATATCCGAAAGACCCGTGACTTTCACTTCTAGTGCCGAGCGCTTGGCGAAAGAACAGTCACTACATTTGTTTACGTCTTAGGTATGACGCGGCGCCGCGAACGAGAATCGAACCCGGGCCTCCCGATCACGAAGCGAACGCTCTACCACTAGGCTACCGTGTCTGTTTTGTATTTAAGTATGTTTATAAAATTAGTTGTTAGTTTTGCATTAACGTCTTTTTTTACCCTTTTCGCCGCCCATACTTACTAGTTTACGGAATACAAACATGAACATGTACAGTAATAGCAGTTTGGATATGCATGCATGCAGGTGGAGAAAACGCAGGGGATGTAGTGATAAATACATTTATTTGTATACTGCTATTGTAACAGTGAAGTGAACATGTCGGAAGAAATATGAGTTTTCTTTTATCAAAATATGCATCTTAGAGGTCATGTAATCCACTGCTTACTCAATAGTAATACAAATATCACTACATAACACGTGGATACACTTTGTCCATGTCGATCAGTTTGTTTAGTTAGAGAAATTTGCAAAAATGGAAATCTCACTGGTATTTTGGTTGATTGAAAAATAATTCAAGTAACATTTTCATAAAGAAATATTACTCTTGTATGTAATTGTTATAAATTAATGCACAAATGTTTAAACAGGAAGTTGATCACATTTGAACAAAATTGACTCCCACCATGTAGCATGCCTCAGAGAATATTGTGTTTAAATTTCAAGTCTCTACAACGAGCAGTTGCTGAGAAAACTGCGACGAAAATATGTATGAAAACATTTTAGTCCTTTAGTGTATAAATTTCCCAGTTTTAATTTCATTGGCATCAGTGTCTATAGAATATATTTAAAAAAAGATAAATTAATAATTTCTAACTTTATCCTCTGTTTAGCATAAACATATTGTCCACCCACAAACAACAAATAAAAGAAAACACACACACACAACAAGTTTGAAAAATCCTATAGGTTTAAAAATCATCTTGAAATTGTCTATCTGTTTGGAATAAGGAAGATAATACCACGAGATATAAGCTAAGTATGCAAATTTCATCAACGGTTTTATACCATTACTAACAAGAAAAATAGGCAAAAAATAACCTTCATGAAGCTATTCAGAAAATTTCTTGAGCTGTACTTTCAGCTTCTCAAGTACAGCGCAAATAGGTGTAGCAACAGTGGAATGATATGAAGTTCCACCGACAATCATACCGATGCAGACTAAATTATCATTTCCCCCTTTTTCCTTTGGTGGATCCACCTGAAAAACTAGTGCTCCAGAATCCCCGCCTTGCGAAAATACCATATTTCCTGGTCCCGTTATTTCAAGCTGTGCATAATAATCTTCTCCAGGAGGAGTGTTTGGTTCTCCAATAATAGTTCCATGTAAATATTTTGCAGTAATTCCATTCACTGTTAGCAAGCCTCTTGTTAAGCCAGTGTTGGCGCCGACCTTTATACAAGTGTTATTTCGTTCATCGTGTTCCTTATTGAGTCTGTAGTCCCGGTAAGCTCCAGAAGAATACAACAATGGTTTTTCTTCTCCATAACCTTCAAAATTATAAGTTTTCTTTAAAAAAATCAAAAAGAAATTACTCATAAATTATGGGTGTGTGTTTATGTTTATAATGTCATATCAGGTAAATCACGTCCTGATCACAAGCTTTATAAAATCAACCTTCGCCAAACCAATGAATCTTCAAAAAAGTAATAATACACACACAGTCAAACTGAAATGTGAAGGACCAGATGACTCCTTTCCAGGATTCTTGAGGCAAAAATGGAGATGATGGTGAGTGTTCAGAGGAACTTCTATTATACATATTTTACTCCTATTCTTGATATTTATTGACCAAATAGGTCCAAAACACCCCTTTATGGTTTCGGAACGTCGGTATTAAAAACAATCCCTGTGAATATCAATTATTGGGTGTCGTGCAAAGAAAGAATATAAACTTGCTTAGAAAATATATTAAATAAAAAAAATGTACGAGATTCAAATATCATGGTTTTTCTCTATAATAAAGACATTTTGTTTTTATGAAATAAAATGAGATAAATAAAACTCGGATGTCTTATTTCAGGATTACTCCAGCATGATGGACGTTGGGAAGTATTTCTACTGATACTCACAATTAACGAGCTCCGTGGGGATCCGGGTTAGAAAAGGTCCTCAGTACCCCCTTGCTTGTCGTAAAAGGCGACTAAATGGGGCTGTCCTTCGGATGAGACCGTATAAACCGAGGCCCCGTGTCACAGCATGTGTGGCACGATAAAGATCCCTCCCTGCTCAAAGGCCGTAAGTGTTAAATACAAGAAATAATGCACGAAGAATGCGACGAAATGGAGCGGCAGGAATCAAAGGTTTTAACAACACTTGCATCTGTAGCTTTCTGCATTAAATGTATCTTTCTGAATTTTCTAAAGCAGAGAGCTACAGTTTTGTAAGTACTTTATAACTAGCAAAAAATACATTTTTTTTAAATTGTTGTGTCTGTTTACATTATGTAATCAAAAGACCCATTTCACTAGAATTCATGACCCCGACCCAGGAGCCATGGATTTCATTATTTTTTAGAGATATCCTTTGCTTATCAAAGCCATACATTTTGATACTTTAAATAACATCTGGAGAAGAGAAGAAGAATTTCGAAGAATTAATACGTTTTCATTAAAAAAGAAAAAAAAGTACCCATTTGATATAATCTCATTGGTGTCAAATCCGAAAACAAGGCTTCCTTTGGAAATCGTGCAGAAATCCCTACAAGGGAGGCATCAACTGTGACGCCTTCTTGGTGTTCGGGAGGAAAGACCGATTGAAGGTGTTTACCACAAACGTAATTCCTTTTATCGGCCAATACACCACAACAGGGTTGTACAACACTGAATTCTTCTTTTGGAAAATATGACTGGATACCCTTCGAAGTATCAAATAACACGTGTGCACAGGTTAGGAAATAAAGAGGTTGAACTCCTCCCGAGCATGTACTCTCTGCTTCTTCGATTACAAATCCTCCTAGAGTGCCCTCTCTGTTGATGTCACCTTTACAAAATAATGATAAGTCGAATTCAAATATTGAACTGAAAAAAATTCAAAGGATTCGAGAGATTGCATAGATGTCAGAGGTATACACCTTAAACGAATTTTTGACTAATCTTTTTTTTTCTTTTTTTTTTTTTTTTACATTTTTACATCTTTTTAACATTTCGTATTGTCAACTTTTAACGCACAACTCTCTCGACCTTCTACACACACACACACACACACCCTTACACACACACCCTCACCCTCTGTCTCACACACCTTTACGCACATTTTATCTAAATTGTCGATAACCTGTCATCCAACAACGTATGAGAAAAAATACGGTATAACGGGTATTTTTCTCGCTAATTTTTGCGGAACTTTCCGGAAAGGACAAATCCACAAGTATTACAATCGCAAAATATTTTTAATATGCCTTCAGGTATTTTATACATACAAGTATGATAAGTGGTGCGTCTACAGACTCATGCGTGGACGTGTTTTCGTTATCGAGAAAATTCGGTTGACATCGAAGCTCCGATAGCTACAAACAAAAACATGATTTTTTGATCGTGTGTTTTGTCTTCAGACCGTGACTAAAATACAGCTCAACGCACTTTGTACGCTCACATGGTTTTTCGCACAAATTGCAAATTGCAAGGTCATTTTATCAATTCGTTTGAAAGCAATAGCTCTTTGCAGAAATGTAGACAGGGGCACAGTTTAGCTAATGTAACTAATATTTTTAGTACATTCTAACACTTAAGCTTGAGGTGATAATAGTATTTTTCATCTGTGTGACTGTTTTGTATCTTAATAAGGTTGGATTTTTCAGAGTCAAGTTTTAAAATCAGGACTCATGAGAGATTCATCCCACTGCAAAATTTTAACCTTACAAACCGTAAATGCAGAGGAATTTTCCTTTTCAAAGAAGGGATTAACTATTCCAAAAAAATAAACAATACTTAATTAACCTACCCTTTAGTGAGGTTTCCTTTTGCAGTGTTATCCCTTTTCTGCACTACATTTCGACAAAACCCAGAAAAGTATGATAAATGAACAAAGAATTTAAAAACTATAAAATTATAAAACATTCACCTGCATGGTATCAAGGAAAGCTCGTTTTATACTAATGTTAAAGTAATGAAAAATCGTATAGTCGAAACATCGTACCATTTACATATGTATATATATTAATTCCCCTTAATACATCCACTTTGGAAACTTAATATGATAATTTTAAAAGACATCTATGCTTGAACATTATGTATGTAATAGAACGTAGGTTCATGTCATTGTACGGCAGTTCGAAAAATGGTAATTTTTATTACAACAATTTGACCCTAATTTGTGCGAAAAATCATGTGAAAGCGGTTTATTGATACTATAAATATTAAATCTTTTAGAGAACAATCGGCAGGATAAATTCGTTGTACAGACACTTAGAGGGGTAATACGGAAATATGTGGGGTCCTTGAAAAAATGCATATTGGGCTCGGCTTACGCCTCGCCCAATATGGATTTTTTCAAGGACCCTACATTTTCCGTATTACCCCCTTAAGTGTTTACATAACTAATAATCTCTGCAGTTGAAATAATGACGCCATGGCGTAAACATTGCAATATTCATGACGTCACAATGCTTTTAGAACGTCGGAATACATGCACGAGGCTTTATTAGGGAAGTGACCGAATAAAGCTTATTAGGATGCTAGGGGTAGTTGCACGATAAATACCCGTTATACGGTATTCAATTCCTTCTAATTTTAACACCATCTAGTTCTGATGGGCGGAAATTCTTCAACACCATGATGACGCATTACAGAAAGTTATTTTAATGCAGCCTTTCTTGTTCTAAGTAATTATATCATCTTGACAATTACCGCCTTACATAAAAACATTAAAACGTGAGTATATGAGTATCGAAAATAGAGGCTGTCGGTCCCCCTTAACACATTTGGTCTTATGGGTCAGGTAACGTTTACCACGTTGACCTCATAACATATAATTATTGGAATATAAAATGTTTTATATATAAAAGCGATCTTCCAATCATTAGAAGTACTGTATACTGTAAATGTATTATATTTAGCGTGTACAATATTTGCCGGAAATTGATTTTTGAACAAATTAGCGTAGACATAATTTAGCGCATTTCTTAATGTTCTTATTTATGTATATATGTTAAAGACATTAAGCATTGTACTTGAATTAACGGAAGTTTCTTCACGCCAAAAACGCTAAAAAAAATACAATGCCAAATGTAAAATGATTACAGTAGCCTGTATGTAAAACTTGATTTGTTCTGAAAAGTGTGATTTGATTTAGAAATGAAAAGTTGTTTTTTTTTTTTTTTCAAATCAGACATTTTTCACAAGAAGAACATATTTGATTATCTTATGAAATAAATTCGATCAATTTCTGCAATGTTATTTACATGATATACTGACTTTTTTAAAGATTCTCTCTAAAAGGAATACATTTCTATTACCCTTTTACTATTCAGAGATTGTAAAATTAAAGCTCTATCCACTGCTCACCAAGGACTTCCAATTCCGTGGTTCGTGTACACGTACTTGTATGCGATTAAGATGATATGGTGTTTTACGTATGATGGAAAATACAACGATTCATATCAATTGACACAATTTGAAATATGTAAGAATTTATAACCATTATATCCGACCGTGATAAATAATTTAAAACATTATCTGTATGCCTGTACTGAATGTAAGTAAACAATAGTGATTTCTACACATAAATATATTTCATTATCTTTAAATACTTTCTCTTCAGAATGTTAGCAAGTGTCCTACGTTAAAAATGAAATCAATATGTTCACCTTCATGTGATAAAAATCTTATCAAGATCCAAAAACATATTTTCAGCATTGTTTAGATAGTATTAAACACTTACCTTCTCTTCCTATGCTTGCACCCATCCTCAACGGATTGAGGATATCTTTTGAGCTAGCGTTTCTTTTCTCTCTTGGAAACAAATAAAAGAAGCCTTCTCGTACATCAGTTTTTATCCCATCAATACACTTTGGGAATTCTTTTTCTTTATAAGGCAAAACTCCTTTACAAGAAGTATACAGTACGATGCAAGGTCCGGAGTTTTCTTCGATTTCTCCTTGCTTCGAACGAAATCCAGAAGCACTGACAATTTGTAAATTTGAGTGGTTTGCAAAGAGTTTCGACGAGAATTCCCTTAAACATTCCTCTATCTCTACACGTGTATTTTTCTCAATTAAATACTTGTGCTCATAGCTTGCCATCTTTGCACCTTCCAGTGGGGGGTATTTCCAAAGTTTACATATAATATGAAATGTTTTCGAAGAGTGTATGTATGTCAGGTCGTCTATAGGCCTGTCATCGTCAATTATCAATACTATTACCTCGTCACCTGCTTTAAATCTGTCTGTGTCTTTCAATGATGTACCAAAATATGCACACTTTATACTTTTGTCACTGTGTTTTTTACAAAGATCTTGTATAATCTTATCTCTATCTTGGGTCGTCCCTGAAAGAAAATAAAGGTAAACAAGAGGCCCATGGGCCACATCGCTCACCTGAGCACTGTGGCTAGATAAAAGTACACATTGGTTTATTATTGAAAAAGTAAAATTCAAAAGTAGTCCCATGAACAATCATGGATTTTCTATCTTTGAGAAGAAGATTTTTGAAGAATTTTCCTATATATTTCTATGTAAAACTTTGTTCGGCCATTTTGGCCCCGCCCTACCCCCGGGGGTCATGATGATTTGAACAAACTTGAATCTACACTACCTGAGGATGCTTCCATGTAAATATGATGAATTATGGCTTGGTCATTCTTGAGAAGAAGATTTTTAAAGAATTTTCCTATATATTTCTATGAAAAACTTTGGTCGGCCATTTTGGCCCCGCCCTTCCCCCGGGGGTCATGATTTGAACAATTTGAATCTACACTACCTGAGGATGCTTTCATGTAAATATGTTGAATTATGGCTTGGTCATTCTTGAGAAGAAGATTTTTAAAGAATTTTCCTATATATTTCTATGTAAAACTTTGGTCGGCCTTTTTGGCCCCGCCCTACCCCCGGGGGTCATGATGATTTGAACAAACTTGAATCTACACTACCTGAGGATGCTTCAATATAAATATGATGAACTATGGCTTGGTTATTCTTGAGAAGAAGATTTTTAAAGAATTTTCCTATATATTTCTATGTAAAACTTTGTTCGGCCATTTTGGCCCCGCCCTACCCCCGGGGGTCATGATGATTTGAACAAACTTGAATCTACACTACCTGAGGATGCTTCCATGTAAATATGATGAATTATGGCTTGGTCATTCTTGAGAAGAAAATTTTTTAAGAATTTTCCTATATATTTCTATGAAAAACTTTGGTCGGCCATTTTGGCCCCGCCCTACCCCCGGGGGGTCATGATTTGAACAAACTTGAATCTACACTCCCTGAGGATGTTTCCATATAAATATGATGAACTATGACTTGGTCATTCTTGAGAAGAAGATTTTTAAAGAATTTTCCTATATATTTCTATGTAAAACTTTGGTCGGCCATTTTGGCCCCGCCCTACCCCCGGGGGTCATGATTTGAACAAAATTGAATCTACACTACCTGAGGATGTTTCCATATAAATATGATGAACTATGGCTTGGTCATTCTTGAGAAGAAGATTTTTAAAGAATTTTCCTATATATTTCTATGTAAAACTTTGGTCGGCCATTTTGGCCCCGCCCTACCCCCGGGGGTCATGATTTGAACAAAATTGAATCTACACTACCTGAGGATGATTCCCCATAAGTTTCATCTTTCTTGGCACAGTGGTTCTTGAGAAGAAGATTTTTGAAACATGCCACCAAATTTTCATTAATTGCCAATTATCTCCCCTTGAATGAGGGTGTGGCCCTTCATTTGAACAAACTTGAATCCCCTTCACCCAAGGATGCTTTGTGGCAAGTTTGGTTGAAATTGGCCCAGTGGTTCTTGAGAAGAAGTCGATAATGTGAAAAGTTTACAGACAGACAGACAGACATACGGACGGACACACATTTGGTTATATATTGGGTACATCAAGTCCAAGTCCTATTGGATACTGCTTATTGGATACAAAAAAAGTGTACACACGAGAGAGCATTATTTGGGTAGTTACTGTTTAAATCTTATTGGATATTAATCCTCGTGTCCGTATTTTATTGGGTTTTTTCTTATTGTTTTTTCCAAATTTATTATTATATATTTGATATTTGCTGGTAAATTCAGACAAGACTGAAAACCTTTGGTTTTGAACCCATATTTTTGTCAATTTCTGTGATATAGCTCTTTTATTGTAACACCTAACTAATTTGTTCTTAGCAATAAGGATATACACCTGTATATTTCAAAATATCTAATATTAAAATATATGAATATCTAAGTGCAAAAAAGAAAAAAAAATGAATTGTGCAAACACAACTCAACACATCTCAGACTCTGTGCAACCTTTCTTGAATAACAGAAATAAGTATTTAAGGAGAAACCTTTTTGAGTCATGACCAATTAATAATAAGCAAATGCCCATTACATGTTGGGCAGAATGAAGGTATCCAACAGGCATTGGGCAGGTGTCGAATACCTGTTGGGTTGTATTTTGACGAAGGGATTAAACTACCCAAGAACAATTGAACATGTGTACATTGTCCAATTCTATTTGGGTTTCTTGAATCTCCTCATCAAAATACAACCCAACAGGTAATGGACACCTGTCCAACTCCTCTTGGATATCTACATCCCACCCAACAGGTAATGGACACTTGTCCAATTCTTCTTGGGTTTCTTGAACTGTTTCATCAGAATACCACCCAAAAGGTAATGGACACCTGTCCAACTCCTCTTGGATATCTACATCCCACCCAACAAGCAATGGAAACTTGTCTAATTCTTCGGTTTCTTGAATTGCATCATCAAAATACAACCCAACAGGTAATGGACACCTGTCAAACTCCTCTTGGATATCTACATCTCACCCAAAAGGTAACGGACACTTGACCAATTCTTCTTGGGTTTCTTGAATTGTTTCATCAGAATACCACCCAACAGGTAATGGACATCCGTCCAACTCCTCTTGGATATCCACATCCCACCCAACAGGCAATGGACACTTGTCTAATTCTTCGGTTTCTTGAGAATCTCCTCATAAGAATGCTACCCAACATGTAATGGACACCTGCCCAATTCCTCTTGGATATCTTCATCCCTTCAATAGTATATAAATTAAATGGTATTGGGCATTCTTCTTGGGTTACTCAAAATTTTTTTCATAAGAAAGAAAACCCAATAGGTATTGGACATTGGTTCAACTCCTTTTGGATATTACATCCCAACATTAGAATAAAACCCAACAGGTAATGTTTACTTGTCCAATTCTTCTTGGGTTACTTATACCCTTCATTAAAATTGTCAAATTTGTCTTTGATATTTATACTCTTGCATTAGACTGCAAACCCAATAAGTATGACATTTACCTTCCCTAGTTGAATTCAAATTTATCTGCATAAGCATACATAAGTCCAAAACATATTTAATACTTTAATTCTAACATTCCACATCTCATTCAGTGTACACTTTACAAATGATAGGGAATATATAAGCATTTTGTGCCTAAACTATTTGGCTTTTAAAGAATTGTATAACCATGTTTGAAAAATTTAAATTTAAATATTGGAACTTGGAGCAAGTCATTACAGGTAGAGCAAGATGCTGAAAACCATATTGATAAATAGATCACATCCTTGATAAAATATTTGCCTTCAGTTGCTAAGATTGTGTTGTATTATATGGAAATTTCTATAATCCTGTTTATTACAGATACATGTCAATGCATATTTTCCCTGTAATAATAAAAATACTTCTGAGATGTAAAAGAATGGATTTAATAGTCACCGATGTTAAAAGATATTACACGTATCTCATTAATCTGGTTTGGAAATCACAAATTTAGTTTTGAAGCCGATTAAACAGTGTCGCACCAGAAAACTCAGTTACAAGTACAATGAATGAATTCGTTGTATCAAAACTTTAAAATAATTGATGCACTATGTCCAAATCTTTTCGACAAATTGGGATAAAGATGTTAAGTCTTAGAGCAAGAGAAAAGTCATTACATGCCCAAATTTTACATGTAAGGTTTTGATCCTATATCTCAATAAATGTCAAAATGGTTTTATTTTTGTTTCTCTTCCATTCTTTCTTCTTCAGGGTCTCTCATGGCCTATACTGTATGATACCTCCATTGACCCTGCTCTTTTATATTGCCATATGTTTATCCAGTAGCAGTGGTTATGCTCAGGCAATCTTTGAAATATTCCTCATTTCATGCATCTCCTTCAAATCTGCCTCTGTCCTCTTTATTCATTCTGCAATTAGATAAAGGAATTTCTTTGCCGTATAAAACATGTTTTTCTTGACTACAGTAAGATCACCCTTTATGTTGATCAAACCCAACCAAGAAGAAGAAGTATATTTCTTATTCAGAAATATGTATTGATAAATAAAATGGAAGAAAAACTAAATTCTATCAACTCTTTTTTGTTTCTTCTATGTCTAACTGCATCTTCATCCTACCCCCATCTGCCATAAATTTATCAAAATGGAATCATCATTCAACACACAAAACGATGTTGCATATTGATTAGACAGTTTGTTAGTTTCTGATTGTTAAGAAGGAGATTTTAAAAAGATTTTACACCTATTCCTTGCAAATTTAAGACTTCTAATGTAACACTATCAGTACATTAGGGGTACATAATCTTCAAAAACATCTCTACACTTAATGATAAAGCTTTCACATTAGTATTGTGTTTAGCCCAATGGTTCTGCTAAAGAGGATTTAAAATTGACCCAAACCTTACTAATTGCTTTGAAATTATATTGACAGGGACAGAGACACACTTGACACTCCATTCCCCCTTCCTGGGGTATGCTTTGCACAAAAGAAGAAGTCTCAATATTATTAAAGCATTATCTGTGGTCCCCGGTTTCTCGTCAAATTTTAAACTTTCATTAAAAAGCTTAGAAGTAAATTACATTGTTCTCTTATGTCTGTAGTATATGCTCCAATGTTTAAAAATTTCAAATAATTGCAAAAAAAAAACAAACATGTGAAGCTGTGTTTTGAAGGTGGGGTCCTTTGATTTTCATGAATATCAAAAGAAAGGATGTATTCGCTTTGACAAAAGAATTGACCTATAGGAGAGATCAATTTCCCGGAAAAAGTGACATTGAATAATTAATCTTTATTTGTTGTTTTCCTCCGTATATATGTCTGAATTTTTCAAATTTGTATTTTATACCTAATATTTATTATTTACAACTTTACAACAAACCTCCAAAGTTGGACTAAACACCTTTTTGTCCGATAAAGCGTTGATTTTTGCATGAATTTTGGGCTAGAAGTCCTTTAGGGCAAGCCTGCCCCTAAATAAAATTTTGATATGTTGATAGGTTTGGATGTAAGGAATAATTTAAGATGGGATTTTTTTAGGGGCACCCCTACCCTAAGGTCGAAATTTACAAAAAACCTACAAAAAAATAAGGAAACAAGATTTTGATAATCTGCTTTAAATTTATACCTGCATATTTCATAGTCAGACTAGCTCAGTTGATATATGCGCTGACTTTTACATCGTACAAACAAACATTTTAATGTCGGGGGTTCGAATCCACCTGGTATCACACTTTTAAAGTTTTTAATTTTCTACTTTTCAAAGACTGTTTTAATATTTTTTATAGACTTGTGTATTTGCCTTCAATTATCTATCCTTTATGCATGCCCATTCTTGATATAAGAGACATTAAAAAGAGATATAAAATCGTAAAAATCCGATGTACAGTTGTCAGTCAGGCGGAACAAACCTCAGTTTAAGCACACTTTCTCTGAGGACAAGAATAACGCACTCTGTGTTACTCAATACAGATATTTTTGGCAGCATTGAGCTGCGATAAATGTCAATTGTATATATTCCTTAGAATTTAATAACATTGATAGTGGGTACATATGTCAGTAACTGTACTCCCTCAGATTTGATTTAGGCCTATATAATTTGCACACATTAATGGCATGTTTTATTATATTCATGGATAAAATAGCATAGACACAAAGAATGCAGTAAACATTACCATTATGTACAATGCAAGTAAAGAGAAATATCAATTATTACATTTGGATATAACAAACTCAGAAAATCAATGTAAGGGTTCCTCCTACCTCTACTCACTGAAATAAAGATTTAGGAATAACAAATTGTTAGATGTATTTAGCCTAAGGTAATTTATCAGAACGGAAATCGACAAGGTTTTTGTAGAGAAAAAAACCAAGCCCGGTCCTATAGGTCAAATCCCTATTTATAATGAAGTGATCCTTTGTGACAGGTGGTTTGAACATATTTTATTGTTAAGATGTTATAACAAAAGGATTGGACACAAGTACTTAATACTTACAACGTCCTCTCCTCAGGTACCCACTTAAGAGCTTTCGTAAACATCGAGCGCAGATTTGTTTAAAGTCGGCATCAAAATATGTGTATATTATATTATGCAGATTGTGTGAAAATATCTTTGTTGAACAACATTGCGCTCTATGTCTTCTACTTAAAAGTATAATGATTTTGAATCTGTTCGGTGAGTACATTTACATAGGATTAACCTCTTGTTGACCTGCTAAGAATAGATAATATGTCACGTGATTCCATTCCGCCACAGGTGAATACCTTTGGAAAGCGTGTTTACTATAGAAAGCGACACAATCTGGTAGCTCGTATTTGAAAAGTGCATACACCAGCTTTCATTTTTTTAAATAAAAAAAAGGTCTCTGTAGACTTCGATAAATATCACTAATATGTTAAACTTTGACGATTTTCCGGGACATTTTGTGATTCTCATGCACGTTTTAAATCGCAATATTCCTGTTCATTGCGGAAATTAAAGCACACGCGTAGATGTACATAAATACACATTTAATCAATTTCTTGCGAAAAAGAAACAAAATATTATAAGCAGAAAATACCAAAGACGTAATAATTTCTTCACATTTAATCACTGTCTAAACAAATAAACTCGCATACTGACCACTTCAATATTCAAAGCAACTTTATACTCTTGTCACGTTTTTGGATGCTAGCTGCATGCATATAAAATTTTATATAAACACGGAAAAACTTCGAATGTATTTATAATCGATAAGTAAATCGGAATATTCATTGCAGAATTTACAGCGAAGTTAAGAAATATATATACATGTCAGGCAGGTAGTATCTGGGGGACAGGTGACCCATTCTTTTCAGGGATAAATCTTGAGTTCTTCACCCCCAACCCCACCCACCCCACCCACCCCCCCAAAAAATTCATACGCCTTTACGCTGCTCCAATATGAATAAACACACATTAATGTTGAAGTTTAATTTTTCAAATAAAAAATGAGCATCTTTTTAACTCCTAATTCTAAATTAATCGTTTTATCAAATTTATCAAATTCATGTTTCTTGATTTCTTTTTCTCAGCCCCCCCCCCTTTACAATAGAATGGTAGTGTATGTCTGTCTGTATTTACTGTTGATTATTATGGAATCGCTTGTGCTTTTCAAACAATCATATAAAAGAAAATTATTGTAGTGGGTAAAATATCTTGACATTTTATTTAACAATGATAGATTTTTAAAAAATTATTGCGATTAGAGGGATTTTCAAAACCCCGACAAAAATACCACAAGAACTAAAAAAGACTCCTACCCACCCCAAGTTAAGAAGAATACGAATGATGCAAAATAAAATTCAAACGTATTGAAGATTATTATTACCCATCGTATATTGTTTATTATTTCTTATCTCACGCTACAATTCATTGGTTTCTTCCTTTATATATATACCTAATTTAAATGTCTCCGCTCATATGTATGTATAGAGGAACCGTACTCTGTTCGAAAGAAAACGTTCCGGAATTTGTGTGTTCAGTAGGTCAATCGGCTTGTATTTCTTGATATTCCAAGTTATAAATAATGATTGTACAAAATGTTAATTAGAAATACTTTGTTTTACACAATGAAACTAAAAATAATACCGCATCTTCATGTATATTCCGTAAAATAAGGGCAAAAAAGGGACCACGCTACTATACCTAAGTGGAAAACTCCTTTAAATAAAATTGACTAAGCTGGATAAAAGTTGAAAATATGAAAAATTACAGTCGAGCAGAATATGAATAACTTTCACCAAATCAGACATGAAGTATTGATCCTTAATAAGTGATATCTAGTATTGTTTCTTTTCCTGTATGCCACTTCTATCAGAACAAAATGTTATACACGTATTAACATAACCTATGACCGAATAGTACCACGGTATTTACTTTACAATTAATTATTAATAAGTTCTGGAACCAACCCTCAGATGCCCTTAAAACAAATGATTCAAAACTGGCAAAGGTAAAGGGCATCTGAAGAATATAAAATAAAATGATAGTACAAACAAGCAAACAGTGTGCATGAAAATGTTGGCAAACACTAGAAAAAATACTAAGGTACTTTCTCAAACTCAACATGAATACTAAAGAGGTTTTATGTAGCTGTATTGCACATACCAAAAGCTTTCCTGCCGTTAAAGGTTGGTTGCCTAGTAGTTATGTAGTATGTACAAATTTCCCCTCTATTTCTTCTAATTTAAGAAGCGAAAATGTCTCTAAAAATCTTATGGTTGTCATGAAGTATTCCTGACAATTTTACTGATTACTTACAATTGTCCTATTTCTGAGGGTCATCTTCTGATGAGTGTGTTCTCTGCAATGTTCACAATTGAAGTTCCTGTTTGACCTGTTACATATTGAAAATCCTCAATGAACATGATTATGGTTTTAATTTCCATTGCAATTATTGATTACTTTTATAAAAAAATCTAAACCAATTTATTGTAACATAATACTTAGGAAAATATTTATGAAATATCAATGGAAAAGGGAATCATTATCTCCAGGTATCCTAAAATCACAAGGAAGCATTAATCATATAAATTCACATACACTGAAAGAAATAGCTAGTTGATTTAACTAGTGTGCCTAGTAAAGCGTTCGACGTGATTAGTAATCACTCTGTTTACTAGCTAAGATACTGAAAAGTGGAGTAGTGGTCGTACAGATACTTAAATACCTAGTGAAAGTTACTTATAAGTTCTTAGATTTACTAATTTTATCTAGTAAATCTATCCAATACCTAGTAAAACTACTTTTAAGGTAGTGATTGTATGGACAGTAAATTTACTAGTATTCTTAGTGACTTTACTAGTTATTTTTTTACAGTGTAGTTACGTAAACTCATTAGCTTTTTGTGCTATTAAATCATAGTCATCGCTGTGCAATAAAGGAAATCAAGTACTAATCCACAGCTTGGTGGCAATAAAGTTACTATCCCCGAGTAAAAAGTGGCAAGCCCAAATATAGAGGCAAAAGTTAAAAAGTAACATTGAAAAAAAGTTCATCGTTAAAAAAGTCAGAGTATTAACTACAGATGATTCTTTTAAAAATTAAAGTTTAATTTAATTTTCGCTATCAAAATTTAATCATATATTAATTAATGATTTAAAAAAATGAAAAAAGATTTTAAATATTCCTTTTCTGGTCATTCACTAGTTCGTCTAATTAAAACGAAGCAAAAATCATTTTGTTTTCATCTTGAATCATTTAAAGCCATATATGGCGTATGTACAATGAAAATTATTAGACTGAAATTATAAAAACTTTTAAGTTGTATCATTAATTTATATAAAAATGATAAAGATAGAAATTTTCCGTTAATTACAAAATCTAAGTCAATTGCGTTATAAAGATATCAAAATTTAATTTGGATTCTCGAAATTTTCTCCGACTTGGAAGAAAATACAAAAGATTTAAATAACACATTACAGAGAAGATAAAATCATATTATTAGATAAAACGAGGTGTTCTCCGTGCTCCAAATTGTATGAAAAGCTTTAATTTAAATGTATTAAATATATTTTGTATTTTACAAAAATATATTTTTTGATCAGTTACGCCATATATGGCTTTAAATAAAAAAGCGTAACATAATTGCATGACACTTATCATTGAGCTGATTGAGTAAATGTATATAATTTAATAATGAGATATCTGTGAGGCATATATGTACATGTACATGCAAATATTGCTATATTAAACAAAGGAAAGGGGGGATTCAAATTAGGAAAAAAAGATCGTTTTCAAGTAAATCAGTCTGGTAGTACTGCAAAATGGATGCAGTTGTGGAGATTTATGGATAATAGGAGCATGCTGTCTGGAATATTTCCATATAGGGAATTTAATAGCAAAAAGGAGTGAAAATACTGGTGGTGCTTTTCATCCATTACATGTGTATTTTAGATTTCCTAATAGCCCAAGGGGATTCCTCAGTGCAGAAAACCACTAGCCCCATCCTCAAAAATTGGAGCCCCGGGTGTAGCGCGATGCTAATTACACACCCATCATGTGAAATAGTTATAGTAGCCCTATATCAGTATTGTTTTAAATTAATTAAAACAAATGCCAAAAACAATAATTTTTAAAAAATCAAAATAAAGCAGACACTCAAAATCAAAGACAGAAAGAAGCACTGTTTTGACTGGACGTTTTTCAGTAATACAATGAATCTCTTACATATCAGATGAGATAAACTTACATACAATTATTTAGTTGTTGTCAATTATCCATTTATCATCATCTCAGCTCACGTTGCGATTGTAATACTGTCTACATGAACCGATAATTTACAGCTGATTTATGAACACACGTTTGTTAAAATTTTCATTTCCCTTTCCAATATACATTGTCAGAACATACTAAGTTGGTTATGATATAAAATTAAATAATTAACACTTCCGTTTTATTAAAGATTATCTAACAATATACGATCATTTACTAAATACTTCTCGCCCTCAAGAGAGTTAAAAACACAGAGAAAATTCAAAATACCTACAAGTGCAACCTAGGATTAATTGTTCCGATATATCTATTTTAATTTTGTGCACAATTGTTTTCAAAACTACATTAAAATCAACTTTTCTTAAACAAGAACCCAGCAATAGATAAATATTAATCGAATAAACTTACCTTTTCTCTTGTCAATCAGACAATCTTGTTGAGATTAAGTGTTTCTTAGTCGCCATATTTTTTTTCCCCATGAAAACAAACGCTGTTATGATCAGGATCAACGGAAGTTGATTTTCGGAACTCTCGAGAATATAGAGTTCCGAATGTAAAACTGAAACACAAAACACGGTGCGTCCGTGAAAGCAACATTTTTGGACACTTTTTTGGACAAATCGTCGTGTCCAAGTTTTGTTGGGTACTAACCTGCAAATACCCAATTAGGGTGTTTTAAGCATATTCAGCGACACTTCTTATTGGGTATACCCAATAAGCAAAAAGTACCCAATAAGTACAATCTTGGCATGAAAAATACCCAATAAATGCACTCTCGTAAACACGGACAGACGGACGCCGGACAAAATGTGATCAGAAAAGCTCACTTGAGCCTTCGGCTCAGGTGAGCTAAAAATCAGAATTTTTGTAATTTATTATTTTGATAGTAAAAAACAACAATATTTATATTTATAAATTGTAAACGTTTTAATTTATGCCTCAGAGAGGTTTGGAGCTATTGTAACATTAAATCCTTGGACTACTTGACCTTTGTCGTTTTTGTGTCCGAGATGATAAAGAAAATGCACATTATAAAAAAAATAGAATCGTACTAAACGTTGCAATGTTTTTGGCATCATATTATAATATATACTCTCTTTTATTAACTGATCAAAATGTCTTGAACATTTTGTTTTCTTTCCGTAAAGCCACCCATTATGTCGCTTTGGTCTGTGCGTCTGCTCTAGAGTTACAAAGTGAGGAGTTGATTCTTACGTTTCGGGTTCGAATCCCACTATGGGACACAGAGACCGGTACGTGCTTCGGATAAGACTAAATAAACAGAAGTCCTATTTTTCGAGTAGGTGTTTGCATGAAATCGACCCCTCACGTACCACGCAATTGCCATAAGAATAAGACAAATTAAGCGTCTCAATATGAGTATAAAAAATTTATATCGAGAGGAACGTTAAACAACACATAAAAAAACAAACAAAAAGTATCCAAAAAGATAAGTGAATGCTTAATAATTTATTCGGTACAAATGAATAATATTGGCTTTATACGTATATAAATTACTTTTTGTTCAGGTTTCGCGTTATTCTGAAATGTGCAAAATAATATTAAATAAATACATGTAAATAAAAAACAAATGATTTACCAGAACGTTCAACCTCTTCCTCTTCTGACACTACAGAACAAGGTATGGTTTCCAAAGATTCTAAGTCATGTGATTTTCTAAAATTGAAGCAGGTGTAAAAGTTAAAAACTCAAGCTTTCTGAATAATTGAAATTCCATGCGTAAAAATAATACAAATTCTTCATGTTTTTAATTGCTAATTTTGACGTCATAAACGTGCATTTCCCCGTATTTTCTTAAAAAATGCAGAAAACACCATTTTTCAATTGAATTTTCTTTCAGATTAAATTGTCCACAGGCATCGCCCTCAAAGATCTTGAGATATGTCAATTGTTATTGACTTTTGCACAAAATGTAAAAAAAAATAACGTGGGCGACGGCTAATGGAAAATCTTTCTTAAAATGGGCCATTTAAGGCTTTTTCTGTTGAAAACAGAGCAATGCATCACATTTATAAAGTCATATTTGCAGAATGGTAAACATTCATGTCATATTCTTTCCTGATTTATCACAGTCATATACGTCAGAAATACTTAAGCAAGTTTCAAAATTTTTGATATCATTACATTTCTAGAGGGCAACAAAGCTAAAACCATACCTTCTTCTTTGTTTTCTTTTTTTCCTGGCTTTTTCTTTATAATATATTCCATGCTTGAGTTTCATCACTGGAATTCCATATACCTTTTTTCCGCTTCGTAAGTCATATTCTCGAAGGAGTCCCTTTTTCAGTTTATCATTTATGCACTCGAACAGACCTATGGATTAGAATATAGATTCATTATAGTTCATAATGGATAACTTTATTTGTTTTTTTTTAGTAAAATTAATGTACGAAATATTTATTATTGATTTATTTTAATTGTGAAAACTAAAGAACACTCTCTGTCACTCTCTCACAAGAAATTTTACTCAAATATATTGAAATTATCTGGAACAGCTAAGTAATGAAGCCAATGGATTTGTACGATTTTAAAATTCTTTTGAATGAAATATGGAGATAACGAACACCTCAATTATTTGCCAATAAATACAATGTATGTGATAGAAAACCTTAAGTGTATCTTCTTTATGTTTTCCCCTTAATTCATTTCAAGGCATTTTTCCTTGGTTTTGCCCCCTCCAAACTAAAATTGCACCCACACCCTTCTTAAAATCATGTGAGATCCGGACCGATATCATATACAACTTTATTCAAATTTCTGAATAAATTAAAATATGAAACAGATGCATTTTTATGGATCGGATAAGTCCATGAAAGTAAAAAAAAAGATTTTTTTTCCAAAATTTCTTTTGAAGCATTATGATTTATTTTTTTAGATATTTGAAATTAATCATTTCATCCAGTTCTAAAAATTAGATGGAAATCAAATATTTTTAATACTCGAGGTATTCCTCATTAAGCCACCGGAATCTGTATGAAAATTCAATATGCTGAAACAGTTGATGCTGTACATATGCATGAACGTACACATGCATACTTTCTTCATCTACTTTCTTAGCAGTATTGAAGAAAAAAGCCTTCTATTATTTTTTTTATTAAAAAAAAACTTAATTTCGTAAAAACATTTTGAAAAAAATTCCTGTGATATTGAAGAATGGAACTTGTCTTAAGATTTCTTACACATGTACTTAAGATAGTTTTGTGAAACAGCAGTGACAAATCTTATAATTGTCATAAGTTAGATCTTAAGATGATCGTAAGATCTATCTTAGGACAAATCTTACAATAGTTTTGCGAAACCCAGTCCTGGTATATAGGTCACTTGAAGTTACTAAAGATTCCAAAAGTGTTACAGGTCAGATGTGTGGAGTTAATTTAGCGTGTACGGTTACAACAAACAACACGCAATGGTCGTTTCTTCATTTTCGCTAAATCATAGCTGCATATCTGTAGCTCCCTGTTTGAGAAAATTCGGACGGATAAAGCAAAGAGCTACAGATCCATGCGTTGTAAAAACCTTCGATTTACGCCGCCGATATTTCATTGCTCACTTCAGGTACATTTTCTTATATTTTATGTTTTTACCATCCTCATAAATGATATCAGACAGCTAAATATACATTTACTGTTAACCAACTTTTATTCGCTTGAGAGAAATATTCACGAGTTTTGCGACAGCCTCGTTATCGCAAATATTTCTTGCCGTGAACTGATCGTTTAAGTTTCTTTTCGTATTAACAACAGATTAAAAAAGGCTTCGTCACGACATTTGGTGGTCGTGACCTAGTTTACCCTCACAAAATCGCGAAATAAAGTCGTCGCGAATAAAAGTTGGTTAACAGTAACTCCTTTTCTTTCATTTTTATTTCCCTTTCATTGGTTCAAGAATGCCCGTTTGTTGAAGTGGTCGTAGAAATGGGAATCTCATAAACCGACATTCCAATCCAAAGAGGACTGTTTGGGACCATTTGGTGAAAAATAAAATTCTTAAAAGTTCAGCTTTAAAGAAGCTTCGAGAGTTAGCAAGTAGATTTCTTCTCTGTGATAAAGTTATAAGAATCACAGGGAACTCAAAGAATAGCTTCAAATAGTTTAAGTATATCCCAGATTTGTCTACTTAAGAGTCATTCTCTGTAAGAATCTAGAAAAAAGTTGGAAATGGTACATCACAGATTTTGCTGATTTTTTTGCATGCAATGTAGAAACACCATGTATAGAACATTTTTGAGGTTATTTTTTTTATTTTGAGTCCCGGTTGCCATGGTAACCAAAACCACCATTTTGAGGCCAAAAATACAGAACAACCTACTGAAAGTATACAATCTTCATCATAAATTTCTATTTTCTGCCTTTTATTTACAGATTAAATTGTTGCCTACTCTGATAGAATATTTGTTGTAGTAACTATCACAACTGATGAAATTATTCAATAATTAAATTTTAACAAATTTGAAAAAATGTCAATTTTTGGCATTTTCTAAGTGTAGTAGCAAGAAAACGCGGGCAATCAATGACAAACAACTACCATCACTGAAAAGGTCATTCCTTACACAAAAAAATATAAAATTTCTAGATTGGTAATATTTCTTAAAATAAAATAAAATGAAAATGAAAACGGTTGCTATGGAGAATTTGGATTAATTTGTAGATTCAACATTTGCCTCCTTTTTGTACATTATAGCTTAAAAAATATTAAAGGTAAAACAAATCACACTCCTAGACATCATAATTTCAAAATAAAATGATGAAAATGTAAGTTCATAAATTAAACAAAAATAATGTGTTACTATAGCAACCAAAAAGTCAGGAAAAATCACTGTAGCTATTGGGGTTTTCATTATGCAGACTCTGTGGCCTCAGTGCATTATTTAATTTTTTTTATAAATAGATAATACTTATCATATTTGTTATTTCACTCAGGTACATTAAAAAAAGTAAAAAATAAATATTAAGGCATCCCAAATCACATTGCTATGGTAACCAAATAGTTTTTGAATACTTCCTCATAATGGTTGCTATCACAAATATTGTTATACTGACAAGTATACAACAATATTATAAAAGCTTCATTCGTGATTTTTTCTCTCTTTTTCAATAAAATAAATTGAATTTAATTGTATTTTACTAAATATCAAGAAAGTAAATCATAATTTATTTTAAAAATGGTTGCTATGGCAGCCAATACTTCAGGAAAATCCTTATCATTGATCTGTTTAATATACAAAATCTACTGCTTTATTGCCCGATATTGCTTCCTCAATGAAATAAATTCTACAAACCATGTATAAACCTTTGAATGTCATTTCACTAACATAAAAATAGAAATTCATAATTTTATTAAAAAAACAGTTGCTTTGGTAACCAAATAATTCAGGAATAATCCAAACTAGTGCTAATTGTAACGGGAACCGTTACAGATG